TCAATCCTATTCCATCCTTTTCTTCTTTCTTTCTTGCGTTCGTTCGTTCATTCATTCATTCATCCATTCGTTCATACATTCATTCATTCATCCGAATTCATTCACTTATTTGTTCATTTATTCATTCATTCACTCTCACCCTTATTAACCAGATTCATTCTTTCATTCCATATTCATTCAATCCAATCCATTTACAATAAGTACACTTAGATATCAATAAGATCTATTTACAAACCTTTAGTATATAAATTCCATTCTAATTTCCATTCTATTTTCCTTTTACAACATTGATTTATTTTGCCTTCTTTTCCAGCGCCACCGACACCATCGAGTAATACTAAAATTATTAGACACACTAAATACTTCCAAATATTTTTTCCACGCCGATATTAATTTTTTTTTCGACTTCGCGACTCCTTAAAGTTTGATCTCTTTTAAGAGCTCAGAATTATTGAAATAAACCCATGAATGGCTTCCTCTTAGAAATGATTTCCAATCATTGAATTTTTCCTAAATCCTAAGCAAATAAGCCACACTCCTTCTCTAACCAAATATACAAATAAAAAGATGGCAAAATGTTATTAAAACGACGTGGAAAAAAAAAAATCATAGAACTTCTAATTTTGATACCTAACGTCTGAGATTAGCTGACAGAGTAACATTGGATTCTTGAGAATTAATTGTCGCTTGCTTCCCTTTGGAAAGAGTCGAACTCAAAAGAATTAGCACCTGAAATGATATGATTTTCTAGAAAGTGTGAACAAATTCCGAGTGCTTTTGTCTAGTCTAGTCTTGTATTAATTTGCAATTATATTATCGGAGGATTTATTTTCAACATTGTCGTTTCGTATGACAGACAAAGAGAAATACAATTAAGAACTGACAATATGAATAATATGAATTATAATATACGCGCGCGGCAGCAATTTGAACTAATTTATTTTATACATCACTCAGGAGAAAGAAGGTACATTTGATGATAGTTTTCAAAGCTACACGCGATTTGATGAATGAGTTTGATTGCTCTTTCTCAGAATTTATCCGCACGTCACGTGATTCCTAAGATTTGGCCTTATCCAATTYTCTACCAAAGAAGATACTTCATCGTATCCTGAAAACCATTTGTATTCCCAAAGCTCATTCTAGAGTGAGCTATTTATGGCAAAGCTACGATCACAGGTAGCCCAAGCTTGGTTTCTGTGGTGTCMTGTTATAAGGAAATGTATGGGGATTCATCAAAAATTTCAATAAAATCATTGAAACGTGAAATAAAGCCTCGAAATTTTACCCGATCATTGAGAAAAAGCACTTCTTTCGCTCTGTGTGGTTATTTTTTGAATTTAGCCCGTTTAAGGATTTTGTCCCCCACCGATAAGAAATAAGAGACGATGTATTCTTTTTTTACAAATAGCATGGGCACCTTACTATTTCAGAGTGTGTTGGGAGGTTGTTAAACAGTGTTAATTTGTGGAGAAAACAGATATCATTTACTATTACTTGGTTGTGAAATGCTTTCAATTTGCTATCTTCTCGAACTCAATTCGTTACGAAAGGTTTTTTTTAATTTTATCTTATAATTTGAATCGAATAAGAATAAAAAGTTTTGAATTAATGTCAAGTAAGAATTCGTGTTATGTACTGCTATCAATATTTTCCGTTATAAACGTGCAATGTGAAGCTTTGCCTTAGGTTGTTTCTTTATATTCTGCACGATTTCAGTTTTCACGAATCTTCTTCTTTCAAAAAAGAAAACAATCCAACGAGATACAGAGAAAACTCGGAAATTAAGCGGCCTAACTCACTAAATTTAGAAACTAGCTTTGCTCTCGCTAGTCAGTATCGTTTATCAAAATCTGGCAACCAGAAATTTGAAAATCGAAAAATTATAAAAAAGACTTGCCGCCGGCGGCCAAATGTAGATTGTGTGAATTATCCTTTTGTTATAGTGGGTTTTTCTTGTCTTTTGAGCGACTGAACATGTAAACTAAATGTAGGAATAGCTTCGGGCATCCAAAGTTGATGGCGTAAGACTGCACGCTACATGTAGYCACCCCTTTTCAAGATAGTTCGCCTATCTACACCATAATTTTACACATATAATCTAAAGATAAATACAAATGAGGTCTGGAAGCGTCAGTGGACATTTCGGAAACAAATTTCTTTAGGCGAGACACGCATGGATAAAGTTGATCACGTAGTCGTTCAAACAAAATGGCGGCCAAACAAAATGGCGGTCGAAGCAGAACTCAATTTCATTAGCGCATCGTCTTTGATGTTATTTAGTTTTGTCTACAAATCAAGTGAATTTTTGCTGTTTGTGGTATAATAATCGTCGTCTCTTTCTCAGTAGCCGATAATAAAGCACCTTGATTAAGAAGCATCTTGTTCAGTAATTGAGAAGACTTCGGCTACCGTAAAAATAGTCTCCAAGGCGACCTTTTTTGCCGACAATGTTCTTACTTAATCAAAAAGAAAATAGACAGCATTGAAGGCGGAAGTCAGAGCAATCATGCTTATTTTACTGCCTTGTCCTTTTCTGTTGTCTCTTTGATGTGTATCTATTTATTTTAACGTTATACAATATCAATCATCACACTGACGATATTTTCGATATTTTGCCAAGTATGACAAGCCATGGAAGATACTTTACTTTAGCTGCCCTAACTCTGATATTCTCGAAAATCAACCCTTTGTTTGTGGTAAGTTGAGAAGATACATGACTCTTACATAATCATTTATATAGACAAGACAAATAACTCATATTCTAATAAATAGACTTGAGATAGGAACAGTATTTTTATTATGAACAAAAAAGAGTCTAAATAATTAAACTCACCCTATTTTTTCCACCAAATGAAAAAAAAA